ATATATATATATATATATTACCACAGAAGCTGGATGTCGTGATGCGCACCTGTAATCGTAGCACTCGGGAGCTAAGGAAGGATCACTACTGCAAGTTCAAAGTCAGCCTGGGATACATAGTGAGAATCTGTCTCAAAAAAAAAAAATTACCGTAGAATTTAAACTGTAGTTTTTTTTTTTTGTGGGAACTTAGACAGCTTTTCATTATAAAAATGCTCTTTCTCTATTTTTTCATGAGAATTTAAATTATTTCTATAATGTAATCCAGTTACATAGACAAGGTTTGGTTTTAAATACTTGTTTTTATAGTTAGTTTCTTTGAAATTCTAATTCAGGGGCCAGGAATTTAGTTCAGTGGTTCCTCAGCCTGTTTTGCAAGCATAAGATCCCAAGTTTGATGTCCTCATACAAAAAAAAAAGCATAAACAAATTCTAATTTGTGTTTCTGCTACATGGTATCTGTTGCAGCTGGAGGGCCATAATGAACCAGTAGTGTTACAGGTGTTTGTGGGCAATGACTCTGGTCGAGTGAAACCACATGGATTTTACCAGGCCTGCAGAGTAACTGGACGAAATACAACTCCCTGCAAAGAAGTGGACATTGAAGGCACCACAGTTATAGAAGTTGGCCTTGATCCTAGCAACAACATGACACTAGCGTAAGTACCTAGTAAGAATTTTTTTGTTGTATGTTACACTTTTGTCATAGCCTGTAAAAATTTTAATTCTTGGGGTAAAAGAGAAGGTTTTATTTCATTAAAATGTTTAAAATACTCCAAATGAAAAAAATAGATTATTATAGAGTAGCAGTGTGTTAAATTTAATTGTTTTGCCTTGTGCTAAAGAAATATAAATGGCAGGAAAAATTGACTAGGTGTTTAGTCTTTTGAAAATTATAGAGACTTACTGAAATTCAAAATATTAACATTAAAAATAAAAATTATTTGCTTTCCTAATTTCCCTTTGATAATTTTTGTTTTAGAGACTGTTTAATGAATTCTATGAATTATCTTGTCTCATCTTGTGAAAAGCATATTACTGGTTTATAGTCATTTGTTTTTTCTCCATACCGGGGATCGAGCTCAGGACCTTGCACTTGCCAGGCAAGCACACCACTGCTGAGCTATATCCCTAGCCCCTACAGTCATTTGTTTTTATTATTTTTCTGTATTTTAAAAAATTATATCCTGGCCAGGCATGGTGGCACATGATTGTAATCCCAGCCAGCACTTGAGTGGCTGAGGCAGGAGGACTGCCTCAAGTTTGAGTCCAGACTGGGCTGCGTAGCAAGATCATATTTAAAAAACCAAAACATATAAGATCCCAGTAATGAATGTAACTGTACTGTCTACCTAGAATGTACCAATAAATTAAATTTTAAAAAAGGAAACAAAACAAAACAAAATTATATCCTGACACCATGTGTTTTTGGTCTTAACACATTTTTACTGGCTTAAAAATGTTTGAAGTGTTAATGATTTAACTTTTTTTAAGTTACTTTTCCTTAAGCCTTTTGTAAAGGATGCTTAATCCTAAAATTAAACCATAACAGCAGCAAATATATTGGTATGGGGGAGACCTGTGTTGTGGTTATTTGTAATAGATAGATGCTAAACACATTATTTGGTGTTTGGTTTCCTTTTGCAAGCCATTATGAATAGATTGGCAAAGAGGCTAATTATTTTTTAGAAAGGGTAAATTTTAAGAAATATTAAGTAAAGATTTATTTTTTACTTGAATTTTTTAATATTATACAAATAAATTACATAGTCAAGGAAGAAAGGAAGAGAGTTATTAATAATAAAAATAGTAAGGACTGGGTGTGCACCTCATTTCTTTCTTTCTTTTTTTTTTTTTTTTTTTTTTTGTACTAGGGATCAAACAGGACCTCATACTTGAGAGGCAGTTGTTGGCCCCACTAAGCTAAATCTCTGCTTTCTCCCTCCCCCTCTCCTCTCTTCCTCTCACTCCTCTTCATTTCACCCTCCCTTTGTCCCTTTCTTTCTTTTTGAGACAAGGTCTCACTATATAGTTCAGACTGGCTTTGAACTCAGTATGTAGCCCAGGCTGGCCACAAACATGAGATGATCCTCCTGCTGTAGTTCCCCTTCCTGAATTACAGGTGCTAGAATTACAGGTCTGTGCCACCATGCCCCTCTTACACCTCATTTTTACTATGTGTTTAGCATACGATAGGCCCATAAGTTAATCCTCAGCACCTCCAAAAAAAAGGAAAAAAATATGTACTTTTTTAAGAAAGCTGGAAGCAGAGTAATAAATTTAAAACATACTCTTGGAAACAATATCCTTCAAAACTTCACTTCCCTGAAATAAATAATTTTAATAAATAAATATTTTAATATTTAGCTTCCCAATCATTTTTGGGCAAAATTGAGATAATAGTGTGTTCATTTTTTTGTAACCTTTTTTTCACTTAACATATGAGCATTTTGCCACATCATTAAATGTTATAACATTTTTTGATAGCTGTATGTATTCCTGAGGGATGGAGGGAGGTGGGGAAGAGACTGAGCAACTAAGGTAAAGAGTCTTTTACAACCCATTATTTCTGTTCAGATTTTAACATAGTGATTTTATTTCCTTACTATGTTCCCTATTTTTATAAACCGAAGATTGACAAGATCAGGAACTCCTAATGTTTAGAATTTACCCTTCAGTACTTTTGAGTTTGTCATCTTAGCACTATATTATACATTCAAATAATGGATAAGTACATTTTTTAAAGAAAACCTTATTTGATTAATAATGTTGTAATATTTATACAACAAGATGTTAATTTTGTACTTTTTTCTGTGCTAGGGTGGACTGTGTAGGGATATTAAAATTGAGGAATGCTGATGTTGAAGCCAGAATAGGAATTGCTGGTTCCAAGAAGAAAAGTACTCGAGCAAGATTGGTTTTTCGAGTTAACATCACAAGAAAAGATGGCTCTACTTTGACATTGCAAACACCCTCCTCTCCAATTTTGTGTAGTAAGTAAGAAAATACGTAGATATTTTTAAAAATGGAGACTATTTACTTTCAGATATGTCTTAACTTTTACATTTTCATACATTCAAGCTTCTGGTCATGCAGAATTTTAAATACTCTAAAAGCTACAGTCAAGAGCTACACACCCTGGCATACCCCTGTGGTTCCAGCAAAGTGCAAGCCTCAGCGAGGCAAGAGGATCACTTGAGCCCAGGATTTTCAGCTGGCTTGGGCAAAATAGAAAGATTGTGTCTCTTAGATTAAGTTTTATTTAAAAATTTCTTAGATTAAAATATTTAATCTTAGCCAGGCGTGGTGGCGCATGCCTGTAATCCCAGCACTGCGGAGGCTGAGGCAGAAGGATCACTGTGAGTTCAAGACCAGCCTGAGCTACATAGTGAGTTCCAGGTCAGTCTCAACTACATAGTGAGACCCTGTCTCACCTCCCCCAAATTTTTTTAATCTTTAGATTAAAATTTATTTTCTGAGCTAAACTAAAGGTAAGTAATCAAAATAAAATTCAAAATGTATGTAGCATTTAATAGTTTCTTGTTATCATATAATAGTTCCCCAAAGTAAATTGCAAAGCTAAAGCATTTTCCAAATACCTTTACTGTGGTAAATTGCTTTGGTCCTGTGTTTTGCGTTAGACTGTAAAAGTAAAGTTAGCAGAACTTCATAAATAGTAGCGTGTCAGAAGTTTGAATTACAAATTATAGTGTTATAGTATACTGTTAGTGGGGAATAAATTTTTTTGTCACCTTGTCATTGAACATAACGTGGGTATATGTGTATTTACATAACAGTTATGTTGTTATATGTGTCTCATTATAATTGTAGTTTCTCTCTAATGAGTGTTGCAAATAATAAATGGGGAAATCTTGTTATATCATTGAAGAAAATTTCCAGTATCGATTATTTGGCATTGGGGTTTTTTTTGTTGTTGTTTCTAGGGATCAAACTTGGGTCGCTTGTGAGGCAGGTGGCAAAACCAGAGCTAAATCTCTGGCCCCTGGCGTTGCTTTTTTATAATTCTTTTTTATGATTTATATTTTATTTCAAAAGAAAATTATTATTCCAGTTGGGTTTCCTATTGTGTTGCTTTGGGCCTTATGACCATGCTACCACTTGGATAGTTACAGATACTTCGTTATTTATTTGTTCCTTAGTTTTGTTATTTATCTTCTGTAAGCCATATGTTTAATTCTTTTAGTTCACATCAGAAATTATTATACTTCAGCTTACAAACATCCTAATTTTAAGAAGGAAATACTGGAAATATCTTTCTGATCTCAGCGGAGTTCAGTTGAATTTCTCTTATTATGTAAATTTTGTTTTTATACTGGCATTTCCTTTTGGTGCTTTCTAGGTATTTATTTTGTTTTGCTTGTTTTGTTTTTTGGTACCGGGGATTGAACTCCGGTCCTTGTGCTTGCAAGGCAGGCCACCGAACCACTGAGCTAAACCCCCAGCCCTTTCTAGGTATTTATAAATAGACTGTTTTCAAAGTTTGTGGACTCTATGGCCATTCTGTCATGCTCAGAGAGGAACAGAATGAATAATCTATATGTGGTTAATGAAATTGTGAAGCTTTTCTAGTTGAATTGTTCAGTTTCTTAACGTCATATAATTTCATGACATGGCCTTAATTAAATAGTATTAGGATGCAGTTGGAATTTAGTGAAGCATAATCTAACACTTTGAGCAGGTTTATAACTGTTCTCTGAAGAGTAGAGCCAGGTGTTGCTTAATGCCTCAGGTCATAATGCTTTAGTAGGGACTGGAAAATATTTGCCAGTTTGGTTTGCTTATTCCTTATTAGTTCATTCATTCATTTCTCCCTTTCCTAATTTTGTTGTTGACAAAGTATGAGTATACCTAGGTAAAAAGATGGTAAAAAAAATAAAAGAAATAAAAAACATGACCTCCTAACTAAAACATTTTATCTTTAATTATCATTGTTAATTCTCAGCACTAATGATAATACATGTCCATATTATAAATAAGTATGTCTTGCCAAAAAGCTGTTTCTGCAATAGATATGATAACCATAGGAAGCAGCAGTATACAGTGGAAGTTACATAAGGCTAATAATAATAGCTACCATGTTTAACTCTAGCTATGTGCCTGACATTTCACTAAGTACTCTACATAAACATTGTCATTTAAGTCTCGCCATCACTATATGTGGCTTCCATTCTACAGAGGGTGATGAAAGAGATAGATAAAGACCACATAAAGGATGAATAGCAAGGTCAGGATTTAAACAAAACCTCTGCTTTTAGTTACTCCGCTGTACTGCCATGACAGTCCCTTAAACTATGGCATTGAAACTAAGTTTGAACAATCCACTTTGTCCTAGCCATGGCATCTGGATAATTAAAACTGATTACAATGTGAAATTATTTTATTTGGGGTGCCAGGGATCAAACTTGGGTCCTTGTGCTTGCAAGGCAGGTGGCAGAACCACTGAGCCAAATCCCTGGCCCCACAGTATGAAATTATTAGAGAACTGTTTCCTTTATCTAGGATATTTCTATTCTATAATTTAGACTTTTATGACTTTAAGAAGCAAATTTAAATTTATATTAGGGAATTTTATTAAATACCTGTGTTTGTTTTTTCCATTTTCTTTTGTAGATGCCATTTATTATGGAGTTTTAGGACATGTATTTTATTTCTTTAATTGACTATTTGGCACTTACCTTGCCATCTCTTAGAAAAACTGGATTAGATAAGCATTGCCAACACCTTTTAAAGAAAAGGAATTTCAAAATAACTAGAAAAGAACAGTCCAAAAGTTTTCAACACACAGAAATGATTGAGGAAATAGAAATATCCTGTTAGCGATTTGATCACTACATATTGTATATGTGTGTCAAATTATTGTACTGTATTCTTATGTACACAGATAATGAGTCAATAAAAATTTTATTTAAAGTAATACTGGCATTGCATGATATTTAAAAAATTAAAAGTTGTCTGGAGAAATTTGAGTACTTGATTAAGATGGGATCATAGTAGGGAAAGGGGCCTGGGAAGCACTACTCGGCCATCTGTTTAGTCAATGTGACAATGAAACATTAAAATCAACATAAAAGAGAAAATGGAGGTATGTTTGCAGAGTTGGTCCTTATGTTATTTTAGAATAGAAAGTGCTAGAATAATTATCTATTAATATTTTTATCTTTCTTTTTAGTATTGTCATAGAATTTTATATAAAATGATTTTTTTTCTTTAAAGTGTTGTATAACTCCCCTGGCAAAAGACTAAACTTCTTTATGTATTCCTTTTAATGGATTAAGGGTTTGATTTTTTTAAAACTCCGTTCCTTTTTTTTTTTTTTTTTTTACCAGGGATCGAACTTAAAAAATCCATTCTATTTAAAAATGTTAATTTTGGTTTATGCTCATGGCTTTTCAGTAAATATTACTAGTCATTGATCTGTGGATTGGTTATTTAACTGGCAACAAAATGAAAAATTTTAAGTTTTTAAAACTACTTTTTAATTTTTCTTAAATGTTAGGCTAGATAAAAAAGAAAAGGTATTAATTTTATTTTTCATGGTAGCATCTTTGAGTTCCCAGTTGATGTTATTCTTCCTTAGTGAATATTCTTCCTTGCTTATTCCTTCTCTCTAGTGAGTATTATTACTCTTAATAGTGTTGCCCACTAAAACTGTTCTGCGTTAACCCATTTGATCCTGATTACAACTCTGTTATTTTAATAGAGTAGAAATTACTCATTTCAACTGCTGTGTAATAGAAGGAATAAATCTTGTTTATTCGAGTTGCGTCATGGCAGATGAAAAAGATGTTGATTTATTTGTCGTTATTCATTCATTCTTTTATTTTGTAGTACTAGGAATTGAACCCACAGCTTCCACTATGAAGCCCTTTCTTTTTATTTTTTATTTTGAAGTAAAGTACTACTAAGTTGCCCAGGCAAGGCTTGAATTTGTATTCCTCCTGCCTCAGCCTCCCAGATTGCTGGGATTATAGGCTTATGCTGACATGCCCAGTTTTGTCCATTGTTTTGGGCTGGTCTACTGTTGAATATAAAAAGAAATTTATTTATTTTAATTAATGATGACATAATAATGGACATACTTCCTAATTCATATGACTTTAATTTTTTTGCTTTTTTTTTTTTTTCCCCCAGTACCAGGGATCAAACTCAGGACCTTGTGCTTGTGAGGCAGGCACGACACCACTGAGCTAAATCCCTGGCGTGACTTTAATTTTTGAGTAGGATATTGGCATAGAGGGATGTATTTGTTATTTTAAATTTAGATATAATCAAGTTCATATTTTATGTCGCATAGATGAAAGTTTTTTTCTCTTATACCAGCTTTATTGAAAATATTCATAGACCATAAAATTCACCATTCTAGTCTATAAAGTTAAATGCATTTTAGGATATTCATAAAGTTGACTAGTCATCACCATTAAATACTTTTAGAGGGTGTTTGTTTGTTTGTTTGTTTGTTTTCCAGGGATCGAACTCAGGACTTTGTGCTTACTAGGCAGGTGCTACGCTGCAGAGCTAAATCCCCAGACCCTTTTAGAGCGTTTTTGTTAATATACTAAAAAGAAACTAGCAATCACTATCAATTCCCCTATCACTTTGTCCCGAGAAAGCACGTCTTTCTCCAAGGATTTGTTCATTTTGAACATTTGATATAAAAGAAATCATAGGATATATAGCCTTTTTATTTGGCTTTTTATGTAGCATATTTTCAAAGTTCGTGTGTATTGCAGTATGTACTTTATTCCTTTTTATGGCTGACTGTTACTCCATTTAATGAATATATACCACATTTTGTTTCTCTGTTTCCATCTGTTGGCTATTACGAATAGTGCTGCTATGAACATACATGTACAAGTTTTGCTGTGGACATCTGTTTTCATTTCTCTTGTGTCTCATTTTAGACAGTTTATTGCCTACATTTTTGTTTTAGGATTTCTAGAAATCCTATAGAAAATTTTTGTTTTTCTTGTGTTTTAAACATTGTTCTGTATGTCTCCCCTTTTAAACATTATTTTTTAAAAAGTAAGACAAGTTCCTTTGTTCAACTTGATCATTTTGTGTTTTTTCCTCATTCACTTTACTTGTCCTATTTTTAAAAAACAAAATACAGTATTCTAAAAAAAATCATATTTATTGAATCAGCAAATTTTGACAAATTGTTCAGATGAGCTTCTTTTCTTTCATTTTTAACAGTTGGACTTATTGGAGACTATGGTTTAGCTCAGAGAAGCAATTGTATGTTCTAATAGTGACTCATTTCTCATTTAGTCATTCATTCAATATAAATTAAATCCACTGGCCCTCAATTCTAGAGTCTACCTGGGGTGAATTTTTTAAAAATTGAAAAGGTTTAACCCTTAATCATACTCTCCAAAGGTGAGTATTAGGCTTGTTTTTGTTCTTGGAAAGCTTGATAGTTTGTTTTTGCTTTTTAAATAGGTTCTTATTATATTGTCAGAGATGTTGTGATGATATAGCATAGCTCATATTTTAAAGGTTAGGACTTTGGGACAAGCCTGTTTTAAAATATTTAAATTTTCAAGAAAAATATTAAGATGAGGGCTGGGGATATAATTCAGTTGCAGAGCACTTTCCTAGAATATAGAAGTACTTAGATTTGATTCCAACCACTACGAATACTTAAAAACAAAATTATTAAGACAAAACATGACCACGTTCATTTTTTCAAACTTTTATCTGTTACCTAAGGACAAAGATGACATTTATCTGTGCCTATAAAGTCTTAACAAAGCTTATTAAGAATTAATATGGACTTCTCTAATTTTTTTTCTCCACCCTCTCAAGGGAAAAGTGAAGCTGCTGAATAATTTAAATTCAGGGTCAACAGGACAACTCATAGACTAGATATATAAATGCAAGTTGATCTTAGATAAGAAATGTGTTAGTTCTTTTTATGGAATGATTGTGTATACCCACAGCTCAGCCAGCAGGAGTGCCAGAGATCTTAAAGAAAAGCTTGCACAGCTGTTCAGTGAAAGGAGAGGAAGAAGTCTTTTTAATCGGCAAGAACTTTCTTAAAGGAACTAAAGTTATTTTCCAAGAAAACATTTCTGGTAAGTAGGCATCTTAGTATACAAAGATTGTTTTATGTTTCACTTTGTCATAGATACAGTCATACCTACAGAATAAAACAATAGTACAAAAAATTTAGTGAGTCTCTTTTTATTTCAATCAGATGAAAACTCTTGGAAATCAGAAGCTGAAATCGACATGGAATTATTTCATCAGGTAGAATTTAACCCTTTATATAATTTGCTTATTTACTCTTTTGAATAATATGGTTTTGTTCTGAAATTTTTTTAATATGTAGACTAAATTATTATGGATTGATGTGAATTAAACTTTCTTTCTTTGAGTTTTTGTTTTTGTTTTTGTTTTTTTTTTTTTTTTTTTTTTTTTGGTACCGGGGATTGAACTCTGGTCCTTGCACTTGTAAGGCAGGCCACCAAACCGCCGAGCTAAATCCCCGGCCCTGTTTTTGTTTTTTACTGAAAGTGAATTATTCCTCTAATGAGAAGAGTGCCTAATTCTCAATTTTCAAGTTGAGGGCAGTAGCCAAAGTTACTAATAAATAAATAAAACACTTTGCCTGCCTGCCTTTCTTTCTCTCTCTCTCCCTCTCTGTCACCCTTTCTATTTCTTTTTGCCTTTCCTGCTTACTTGCTGCCTGCCTGCCTGCCTGTCTCCCTCCCCTCCCCTCCCCTCTTCTCTTTCTTTTCTTGGGGTGCATGCCTGTAATCCCAGCTACTCAGTAGGCTAAGGCAAGGAGATCTCAAGGTCATGACCAGTCTGGACAATTTAGTAACACCCAGTCTTACCCCCCAAAAAAGAAGTACAAAGAACTGGGGATGTATCTCAACACTTCCTGGGTTCAATTCCCATTATCACAAAACATACAACAGTATCTGTTTATAGGACTCTGCCATGAATTGTTTTCACATAACAAGGTAAAACTACAAAACAAGGATAATGACCTAAGATTCATTATATAGAGCAGAGAAGATCAAGCCTGTAGAAATTGACAATAACAAGAGAAAAGTCTAAATTTATGAGCAAGTTAGAAGGCACATGCAGAAGAGTAGTATTTACAGGTGTACATTGGGTGCAGGTCAAGCTAACTAGTTCAGAATAACGACGCCTAAAATTTAACATACAGAGGTGATAGAGATAGAAAATAACACTTGAAAGCAAGCAGTGCAATGGAAAAGGTAGGAATTGGAGAAAATATAGCCAGTATATCTAGAACATTTATAATTTATTTGGTTTGTAATTTTTTTACTTTTCTGTGTAAAAACAATAAAATTGTTAAATATTTTATATCCAGTATATTGCCAAATTCAAGGCTATGGCCACAGTCAAGCCTGCCTTCATTTCACATACCAGCCACAGGTTCAGAGGTCTCCTGGCCACCGTGCTCTCTAAGTACCTGGCTACAAATCTAGGTTTTCGTACTGTTTCCTCAGATTTAATAATTTTCTAAAATTTGCAGAACTCTGGAAAGTGCTATACTTACAAGTACAGGTTTATAGCAATAAAAGGGTATAAATCAGAACCAGTAAAGGGGAGAAAAACATAGGGAAAGATCTGAGAGTCTCGAAGGTGAAATAGTTACCCTCCAAGATGCATTGCCTTATCTCAAAATATCATTGCATGACAATATGCAGAGATGCCAAAGCTCACCCACACCCTTGCTGTCCATGGGTTTTATTGATTTTTTTTTTTTTTTTTAGACAGTCTCTTGCTTTGTAGTTTAGGCTGTCTTTGAACTCACTAGATGGCCCAGGCTGGCCTCGAACTCAGGTCAGTCCTCCTGCCTCAGTGTGCTGAGTGGTAGGACTACAGGTGTGTACCACTTTACCCAGTTTATTTGGATTTGATTATTTATTTTGCATTTGTCTATGCAGCTGACCTATACTCTCCAGTTCCACCAGAGGTCAGAACTGATACAGCTCCTATTACAAATGACATTGTTAGGCATGGTGGCTCAGGCCTATAATCCCAGTACTACAGAGGAAGAAGCAGGCAGATAATCGTGAATTTGAAGTCATCTAGGCTACATAATGATTTGAAGGCCAGTCTGAACTACATAGCAAGACTATGTCTCCAGAAAGAAAAAGAGTTTGACATTGTTAGCTTGTGCAGTGACCAAAAACCTCAAAGATACCCAATCCGATGGGACATTGCAGGAGTGTAGAGGTCACTTCTCAGTAATTAAAGGTAAAGACCAGATCTCCCTTTATGTACAGTTAATTCTTTGCTACATGGAATCATTTAGTTTCCTATGTATCTAGACAAACACTATATAAAAAGTTTTCCTCTAGCCTTGTCCTATTACTTGCTTTAGAAAAGAGATAGACTTCACAGTCACTCTTTTGTCGCCTATACTGTTGGACACTGTCTCCTAGGTTTCCAGACTCTATGGGGTTGAGTGTGTGTGTGTGTGTTTGGGGTTTTTTATTTTTTTAAGACACAGTCTTGATTTACAGTTTAGGTTGGCCTTGAGCCCAGGCTGGCCTTAAACTTAGGACTTCTGCTCCCTCAGCCTCCTGAGTGTTGGGATTACAGATATGCACCACCATGCCCAGCTTCCAGACTGTTTTTTTCTTTTCTTTTTAATTGAGTTTATTGGTACATTTTAGGTATACAGTACAGTTGCATTCATTACTGGGATCTTGTATCTTTACATGACAGGTCTTGATTCTCATTTTTTCCACTTGTCCCTGCCCTCCCTTCACCCCTTCCTCCCCTCCCCATTTACAAACACTTTATTTCCATTTTTTCATTTTCTCATATTTTTTTCTTTTCCCTTATTACCTTTCCCCTACCCTTCCCATGCAGACTATTTTAACTGAAATTCTAGTAGGAGTTTTGTCCTAACAATCAGTGTTTCTATGAAAGATTAAGTAACTTTTGTGCCTCCATTTTCCAATCTAGAAGATAAGCTTTTTCACTAGATTATTTGAGCTCCTAACTCTGACATTTTATTATTTGGGGGGAGAGGGGACAGGCTCTCACTGTGTAGTTCAGCCTGGGTTTCTTGCAGTCACTTTGTAGCCCATTCTGGCCTCAAACTCATGCTGATCCTCCTGCCTCAGCCTTCCAAGTGCTGGGATTACAAGTGTGCACCACCACACCTGGCTCTCTGATTTATTTTTTATACAACAATCAGACAATCCTCACTCCCTCAGTATCTTCCCCCTAAAAGCCTCCTGAAAGTCAGTGACAACATAGTATTGCTCTTCTGTGATCCTCCTAATACCACCTACTTAATAGATAATCATGAAAAACTTGTCAGTTTGTTTTATTCCCTTTGGAAAAAAGAGAACTCTGACCTAAGATCTGTTTTTTTCCTGAGGGCACTTCAAACCCTATATTCAACCAGGTTCTTACATACCAGTTTTAGTCCTGACTGAAACTCTGTGTGCCATGAGCATGTTTCACTTTTTGAGAAATCAGTTACATTAATATAAATTTTCTAGACCAATGATTTAGCTCATTGGTGCTGCCGCCTGCCTCACAAGACAAGGTCCTGAGTTCGATCTCCAGTACCAAAACAAAAAGCCCCCTATTTTATTTTAGCGTGTTGTTTAGTATAGAACTTTATTTTAGCAAGTCATTGCTTTCTCTTCATTCTTCCCTTTCCCTCTCCCTCATTTTCCCCTTCCTCCCTCCTACTTGCCTTCCTTCTTTGCTTCACTTTGAGGCATAGAGTATGTCTGCCTGTCTGTCTGTTTGTTTGTTTGTTTTGGAACTGGGGGTTGAACCCATGGAATCAGAACTCAGATCCAAAGGAGTTGATTCTAGAGATCATAGAATCTCTTTGGGGGAAGACAAATTAATATTGGAAGAAAATATGTTAGAAAAATAAATTGGGAGGCTGGGGATATACCTCAGTACAATACCTCCTTAGCATATAGAAGGCCCTGGGTTTAATCCTCAGAATGGATAGTTGTGGATAGAAGTGAGGAGGAAGGAAAAGAAAAAGAAGAAAAATGAAATGGAACTTTGGATATGGTAAAGAAATATCAGGCAATAGCCAGGTGAGGTGGTGCACTTCTCTAATCTTGACACTCTGGGAGGCCGAGGCAAGAGGGCACAACTTCAGGTCTTGCCTTGGGAACTTCGTGAAACCCTGTCTCAGAATAAAAACTGAAAAATAATGGGATATAGCTCAATTCAAAGACACTGGGTTCATTCCCTAGTACCACTAAAAATAATAAAAAAAATAAAAGTCTAGATGGGGAATTTGGCTTAGGGGTTCTGCTGCCTGCCTTGCAAGTGCAAGGGCCCAAGTTTGATCCCTGGTACAAAAAAAAAAAAGAATCTAGCCTGCATAGATAAATCAAAAGATACCTGCAATATTTAAAATAACCTAGAGGATATATAATAGCAAAGGTCATTTAAAGATAACTTTACAAAGTATAATTATAATAGATAACCCAACCTCAATTGATCTGGTATTAAGCTTTTCTATTATGTAAATATTGAGATTAATGAAATCTGAAAAACACTTCTTTAATATTTGACTTTTAGTCAAGCCCATAGCATACTGTGTCTCATACTCACATAAGGTAGTTAATGGCTATTTTATCTACTCTCTTTTAACAACTTGTAGACAAGTTTTTTATAACCTTAATTGCCTATTCATACACACACACACACACACACACACACACACACACACACACACACACATTTATTTGTGTGTATATATACATCTGTGTAAAAGAATATACATATATAAAAGGATATGTTTAGGGAAGAAAGACTTATAAATATGCAAAGGAGATTCTTTTTTTGGAGACAGGGTCTCACTGTGTAGCTCAAGCTGGACTTGAACTCACTATATAACCCAGGATGGCCTCAAACTTGAAGAGATCCTTCTCCCTCAGGCTCCCAAGTGCTGGGATTACAGGGATGTACCACCATGCCTGGCACAAAGGAGATTCCTCAGACATACCAAAAAAAGATTCTCAGCAGAATTATTGAGAACTAGGTTAAATAATAACCTGAGAATTTAGAGGGCATGTGTTTCAAATTGGCTCTTATACTAGCTTTATAATGTGTCTTTGGTCCAGACCAATTATGTATATCCCACATGTAAAGTGAAATTTGAAATGATAAATTATCTCATAAGAAAGTGAAAAATATCTATCATTACTTATATATGCTGAACAAAAATTACTGCTGAGATGAGAGATGGTTACTTTAAATTCAAGTAGCTTTCTCTTTTTTCTATTCAAAAACATTTTTTTTTTTTAATTGGCAGTACTGGGAATTGAACCCAAGGATTCTTTACTGAGCTACTCCCCCTTTTAAAATATTTTATATTTTGAGTCTTGCTAAGTTGTCCAGACTGCCCTCAAAGTTGTGATCCTCCTGCCTCAGCCTCCATAGTAGTTGGTATTATAGGCATGTACTACTACACCTGGCCAAGCAAATTCTTCTAAGAAATTAAAATTCAGGGCCCGGGATTTAGCTTAGTAGTTCTAGCTACTAGTTCTACCTACCTCACAAGCACAAGGACCCGAGTTCGATCCCCAGTACAAAAAAAATAAATAAATAAAATTCAGACATACCTGTCTTTTCTTCCCCAGAGAACATTATACATGCTCCAAAAGCCTCTCAATCCTTTGTGTACTTTTTACTATATTACAGAGGTACTTAATTGCTCCTGAGAGTAATATTAAAACAACTTTGATCACTATTTTCAATTTATCTAGTTTTCACTCAAATCTTTTATAATTTCTAGATTCAGATTAACCAGGTCTGGAAAAGTAGTATCAAAAAGGTTTTTAGCTGGGGTTAGTGACACACCCCTGTAATCCCAGCACTCAAGAGGCTGAGGCAGGAGGATCCCTGCAAGTTGGTGAAGGAGGCCAGCCTAATCTATATTCCAAGATCATATCTTAAAGAACAAAACAAGAAAATAAAGGTTTTTAAAAAAAATTTTCAAGAGAGATTTACTTAAATATACTCTGAAGCAAGTAAAGAAGTATTTTTTAGTAAAGTATTTTAATTAAAGTATGTATATAATTTTTATACACTAATCATTACTAGTACCAAAAGACAAGGTTTTTTTAAATATTCAGAATAATAATTTCAGTTGTAGAGTTTGTCAGATAGCTGAAAAGTAAAGAATATTTTACAAGCCACCCATTAAAGCTATCTTCTTAACTCTGGGTAGATTGCTTCTGTGATATAGTAGTGGTATTAAGCAATAGAGTAAAAATGACAGTGGACAATATATAAAAGCCCTGTTTCTTTTGTTTGTTTGGTTGGTTGGTTGGTTGGTTGGTTTTTTGGGTTTTTGTTTTTTTTGTTTTTTGAGACAGGGTCTCACTATGTAGTTGAGACTGGCCTGGAACTCACTAGGTAGCTCAGGCTGGTCTCAAACTCACAGTGATCCTCCTGCCTCAGCCTCCCGAGTGCTAGAATTACAGGCATGAGCCACCATGCTGGGCCAAAAGCCCTGTTTCTAAATAGTTCATATCATTCAGGTGTGTTTTTGATGACCATAAGTATTCTTCACACACACCCCGTAACTGGAGGTGTATGCATTTATACTACATGTTCTTCCACCTGATTTCAAAGCATGTGGATTTTTTTGGTTTTTATTTTGTTTTGGGATTTTGGGTTTGGTGGGGGGGTTGTTTTGTTTTTTTAGGATAGCTAGCTTAGGCATACTCTGTTAATGCCATATATTTGGAGCAATTTCAGAGTGTTTTAAAATGGTTTGAAAACAAATTTTTAGCCAGTCATGGTGCGTGCTGTGTACTCTTGTAATCCCAGCAATTGGGAGACTGAGACAGGAGAAACATTGAGTTTGGTGGTCTACATTGTTGGGACCCTATCTCAAAAAACCAAAACAAACATTCAAGTGCTCAGAAATTGAAACCTTGTATTGACCTTATTTATCCCATGTTTTACTTAACTGGGTCAACCAACTATAATCTAAAATAAATGTTCTCAAACTCATCTCACCCTAAGCTGCCTGCTTTGGGCTCCTGCAAGTAAGATAATTGGTAAAGTGGGTATTCTATTATAAGGAAGAAGAAAAAGTTGCTGATATGTGGTTCATGTTAGCACCAAAGAAGATAAAAGTGTTGATGAAGCATTTAAAAACTCCACTCTTTTCTAATGATACATCTGCCTCTATTCTAACTAAAAATATCTTGGATTAATTGGAGTTTGGATACACTGAACGTTATTTGACTTTTTAAAAATTTTATTGATAGCCGGGCGTGGTGGCGCATGTCTATAATCCCAGCACTTGGGAGGCTGAGGCAGGAGGATTGCTGTGAGTTCGAAACCGGCCTGGGCTACAAAGTGAGTTCCAGGTCATTCTCTACATAGTGAGACCCTGACTCAAAAAACCAAAAAAACAATTTTTTTTAAAATTTATACATTTAATGTATGCAATATAATGACATTCATTGCTGGAAATTTGTACTGTTACATAGTCAACCTTGGTTCTTATTTTTCCCCCATTCCCCTGCCTTTCCTTCAACCCCTCCCTCCCTATCTATAAAGACTTTGTTTCCGTTATTTGACTTTTAATGAGAAAGTGGTTAGGAAGGTAGTAAACTGCATTTTGAAGTGCATCTCATCTTGAAATTGTACAGAATATATGCTACCTGACTTTATGCTTAGTGGGTGGCTTGGTTACTTCTCTGTTTGCTAGGAAAAGATACCTGATACCCAAAGTTAAAGGAGGAACGGTTCATTTTGGCTCACAGTTTGTAAAGGTTTCAATCTTGTGTTTGACTGGCTCCAAAGCAGAGTGGTATGGCAGAGGGGCATAGCAGAGGAGAAACCAGTCCATGATAGGGGCAGGCAGGACGAGGCAGAAAAGCAGCAGCAGCAGGCCTGCCTTCTTTCCTTCCCCTTATATTTTGTCCAGGCTACAAGCCTCTTGGTTGGTGCCACCCATACTCAGGGTGGAGCTTCCATTATCCGCTTTCATATAACCTAACCCAGCCACCTTTGAAGTTCCCCACCTATGACCACCAGAGGCTTTACGGGGACATCTAGATATAAGCCGTAATGGTGAGCATATATTTTTTCCTCATAATTTACTATTCAGCAAATAAAATTGAGTGTTTTTGTGTGTAGTACTATTCTGAACAGAGGAAATAGAGTGAAGAATAAAAAGCCTGGATTTTCATGGAACTTAAATACTTGTAACAGAAGAGGGACAAAAAAACAAGCAATCAGTGTAATTTCAAGTGGAAATAAGTTCTGCTGTAGAAATAAACCAAATTAGGTGATCAGGTTGGATAGGAGGACTACTTTAAACAAATTGGTCAAGGAAGGCTTCTATAAGGAGAAAACCTGAAAATGGGTAAGAAACCTGCTGTTTTAGGAGATGACGAGAATGTCACATTTGGAGAGGACAGTAATAACTGTATAATATGTGAAGAGAATGGACTGAGAAGGTCGTGCTATCTAGAGCATGGTACACTGGGGAAAAGTGGAAATGTGATGAAGGTGAAAGGGCAGGGACATCATAAGCCATTATAAGTTGAATTTTACCTTAAGAGCAATTGTAAGATTGATGTGAACCTGAGCATTGAAATATATTAATCAACTTTTAAACTTTATAAATAATAGGATATACACTTAATTGTTGTGAATTTGAATATTGCTTCTTTTCTGATTCTTACACTTTCTTTCAATTAGAACCATCTCATCGTCAAGGTTCCTCCATATCATGACCAACATATAACTTTGCCTGTATCTGTGGGAATATATGTAGTGACCAATGCTGGAAGATCCCATGATGTTCAGCCATTCACTTACACTCCCTACCCAGGTATGTCAAAACAAGACATTGTGAACTGAAATGAATAATTTCTAGTTCTTTGGACAGCTAAAGATCAGCCAACCAAAAAGAAAAGTTTATTCGATAGTGTGAATTTGGGGCAGGGGATTTAGCTCAGTGGTTCTGCCGCCTGTCTCACAAGTGCAAAGATCTGAGTTCAATCTCTGGTACAAAAAAAAAGTGTGAATTAATATTAACTTATTTTGGAAAGGGCATTGTTTAAAGAGACCAAATACGGCTTTTACTCTTAGTGAAATCATTTCTACCTTATACTTTAATAAGAAAAGCCAGAGATCTTCCTGATATTAGACTCTTTAATGCTATCTTAAAGGTTATTCCTTAGTAAGAACTGTCATTTATTGATACCTCTTATGTGCAGAAAAGTGAAAGTAGCTTTAGGAAACTGCTACTAGTTTAGTTTGCCAGTTATAGGGTGCTTTGAGGGGGAGTGGCTGTATTTGAACCTAATACCTCATGTGTGCTGAGCATGTGCTTTACCACATACCACAAGCTATGTTGGCAGCCATCTAGGGTGCATTTTGACAGATGGGAGGGATAACTTGGAGTAATAAGTAATGATAACTAACTTAAAAATGTCTCATCATTTGTTTGCCTGCATTTATTTAGTTGTCTGAAGAGGGAAAAAAAAGCCTTCTTCTGGCAAAATATAGGGAGAACATTTTGGAAATGGAAACTACATGTTCCATTGGCCTAAGCTTTGTTTCTGCCATAGTTACTGTTGGTTTAGTTCATTCTAGTCTCAAGGATACTTGAGAATTAGTAGTTTTTCCATATCTGTAGTTTACTTATATGTTATTCTCAAATAGTTCAAGATCTAGTGAGATAGAAGGTGAAGAAAAGTGGCAAGAAAAGAAAACCCTGGCACAAGATCATATCGGGGGCGGGCAGGGGTAGACTAATCTTGGTAATTGCCTTTTTCAACTCCCATTTTCTTTTTAATCATTTCTGAAGTTTTCAATATTAGTTTGTTTCCACTTTACTACAAAGGTATGACATAGTATATAATACTAATGAAATTCCTCTTGATATTTATGTGTCTCAAAATAGAAGATTGCAAGTAAAAATTTTGGAACATAAAGTTTAGGAATATTCTAGTTTCAGGATCTCAGCATGGTTGCACATACCTACAATCCCAGCTTTTGGGAGGCAGAGGCAGGAGAATGGGGCGGGTATGAAAGAAATAATAATCTGGTTTCAGTGAAAACAGGAGAAGATTGTTTTATAGTCAAAGACTAAATATTTGGTGTTTTTCTTTTTTTTCCCTTAAAAGGCCTCAAAATTCCCCCCAAAATTTTTTTCTGATTAGCTTTTGCATCACTTTTGTGGGAAGAAAAGGAAGCTGGCCTTGAAATTTTTGCTCTCCTAAAAATGCTGAGATTTTGTTGTTGTTTTTATTGATTAATCATAGGAATTTCAGGACTGCAGTTTAGCTTAAACATTCATCTAATGCTTTTAAATCAGTATGTTGAATAAATTATATATGTCAGTAAGTGGATCGTTTCTGGTGTTCTAATCTACATTTTATATCAGTCCACTCATCCCAGATTAGCAACAGGTATAGTATTAAGGAAATATTTAAAACCGCTGTTTTGATAAGTGATTATATGTTCCACTCACTGGAAATCAGTTAAATTGTAGAGGACAGACTACTTGTTACAAAAATTTCATTTCGCCCAATATGGTGACACACACCTATAATCCCAGAACTCAGGATGCTGAGGCAGGAGGATCACCATGAGTTCAAGGCCAGCCTGGGATACATAGTGAGTTCAGTGCCAGCCTGAACTGCATAGCAAGATCCTGTCTCAAAAAAACAGACTCCCCAGGGCCAGAGATTTAGCTCAGTGGTTCCCCTGCCTGCCTCACAGGCACAAGGTCCTGAGTTCAATCCCTGGTACCCACCCCACAAAAAAGAATAAACCTTCCCCAAAAATTATCTCAATTTAGAGTTTCTCATAAGAAGCTCTGTCAGAAAACAGTCGAATTAAAGGATTTTAAGATAATATAATTTGTTAAAATGAATAAATTTAAATACAGTACATGAACTTCTTTTTTTAACAGCAGCAGCTGGTACTTTGAATGTAACCGTGAAGAAGGAAATATCTAGCCCAGCAAGACCTTGCTCTTTTGAAGAAGCCATGAAAGGTACCAGATTCATTCTTTTCAAAAATTATTTAGGGCCAGTCTGGGCTACATAGTGAGTTCAAGGCTAGCCTGAACTACATAATAACACTTTCTCCACAAAAAATTGTAATTGAGCAGTATTTTTTTTTTAAGCAAACTTTAAATTCTGTTTAATTTAGGTATTTATAACACTTTGTGGGCCATCTTTCATATGTAAAATAAGTATTTGTTTAACTTTGTTGATTGTAGAGACTTGTTCAGCTTGATTTTTTTCCTTCATTAAGCATATAAACAGTTTTTTTAAAAAACACATTAGAGGGTGGGGGATTTAGCTCATTGGTTCTGCTGCCTGCCTCACAAGCACGGGGACCCATATTGAATCCCCAGTCCCCAAAAAACATAAAAATAAATAAATAAAAAACATTAGAGCCAGACGTGGTGATGCATGCCTGTAATCCCAGCACTCAGGAGGCTGAGGCAGGAGGATTGCTTTGAATTCGAGACCAGCCTGGACTACACAGTGAGTTCCAGGGCAGTCTGAACTACTTAGTAAGACCCTGTCTAAAAACACACACACACACACACACACACACACACACACACACACACACACACACACACACACAAGAATAACACACACACACTAGAATAGTGAAATTTAAAATTCTCCAGTATCAAAACTCTTGAAAACAATGTATCTCACACACACACACACACACACACACACTCTAGAATAGTGGAATTTAAAATTCTCCAGTATCAAAACTCTTGAAAACAATGTATGTAAGGGCCGAGGATTTAGCTCAGTGGGTCTGCCACAAGGACTGGAGTTTGATCACCAGTGGCCCCCCCCATGGAAAATAATGTATTTAAGGTACAAAAATGTAAAATAGAAGCTATAAAGCTTTCTTGTTTTAGTAAGGTTAATACTTGTCGTTGAGACTGAAAAGACCAAAATACATGTCATTTGGAAATGTTTCCAGTTCTATAATTATCATTCTTCCTTCTGAGATTTTTATTTGCTCCAACCAGTTTTAAGAAATAGTGAACATGATAAAGTCTGTCTTCAGAATGTTATAATGAGGTAGCATAGATTCTTTCCTTAGAAGATTTTTTTTTTGTACTGGAGATTGAATTCAGAACCTTGAGTTTACGAGGCAGGCACAGAGGATTTGTAATTCAGCTGTGGTATACAGTGATGATAATTTTGTGCCTTTATATATGAAGATGCAGGTTATATCATGTCATATTTGCGCAGTTTTGGTTTTTGATTATATTTTTCTGCCCTTGAACAAGAATATAAATTTAATTCACATGAATTAAATAAAATTTTAAGTATTTGAAATACTTTTAAGGGGAAATAACATGCTTATTAAGAAGTTTTATAAAGGACAGTAAATTCTTTTATCATCATAGTAAATTCATTGTTCTCAACTGTTCAATGTAGCAGACTCTGTGAGGTTGTTACCTCATTGTAATCATTTCATAGAATAGGAAGCCAAAGCTTAGGAAAAGTTAAATAATTTGCTAAAGGTCACTTAGCTGGAAATTTTAAAAATATTATTGGTTGAGCTTCATTGTGTAAATACATCTAAGAAAAAAAACATTCAAATTGTGTTATCAAACAAGTAATACCATAATTATCTATTAAAGTCAAGGAGGGCAAATATTATAAAAAATTATATGCAGATTTAAAATACCACATTGGAACCTAGTATTTTATATGCTTAATATACACCCCCCCAAAAAATTAAAATATTAAAATGACAAAAAGAGCGTCACAGTTGTTTATATCTGTTCTTGCCAAGTTTTAGGCATCTGTTCTTTCCCCTAAAAGACCCACGGATAGGACGCAGCCTAATCCAAGGTTTTGTTTTGTTTTATTTTGTTTTGTTTCTTTTGGTGTTGGGAATTATACCCGGGACTGTACATGTTAGGCAAGTTCTTAACCAATGAGTTATATCCTTAGCCCCTAACATAATCTAACAGATTATGAGCTAGGCTTAATGGTACATGTGTTTAATACCAAGTACTTTGGAGGCTGAGGCCGGAACAATCACAAATTCAAGGTCAACATGGTGAAGACTCTCGAAAGGGTCCATTCAGAACTAAGAAATTAGAAGTTTAGCTGGGCATGGCAGTACACATTTATAATTTCTTATATTTAGGAGGCTGAGGCAGGAGGATCACAAATTTGAATCTAGCCTGGGCAACTTAGTGAGTTCAAGTCCAACCTGAGCTGTAGCAAGACCTTGTTTTAAAGGAAACCCCAACAGTAATTATAACAATAATATCAATTCATTGATTTCTGACTAAATTTAAAATATAATAGCTAATCAAAAGCAGATACTACCCTTGATACATTGCTTATTTTTATGATTCTTTCAAATCAGAGCTTTGATACTATATCATTGTGCTAAATGGAATTTCAGTTAATGATACTTCAGTGATAAAGACTAAATACAGCATAAGTGAATTTTAAATTTGTGTTATGGCAATAATTCCTTAAGGATCCTTATAACTATCAATTATAGTAAGATTTAGAACTTGATACCCAAAGAATGGATAGATTTTTTTAATGCTTTCACTCTCAAGCAGGCTTTACCCAACTGCCTACATAATCCTGTCAAATAAAAGAAAGTGTACAGTGATCTACTGTTAAACATTTTTTGGAGGGCCGGGGATTTGGCTCAGTGGTTCTGCCACCTGCCTCGACAAGTGCAAGGGCCTGAGTTTGATCCCTGGTACCAAAAAAATAAAATTTCTTGGGAAGCTGGGAATGATAGCCCCTGCCTGTAATCCCAGCACACAGGAGGTTGAAGCAAGAGCATCATGGCAAGTTCGAGGCCAGCTTGAGCTACATGCTGAGACCTTGTCTCAAAGTGAAACAAACAATTTTTTAAATGTCTTCAGAAGTATCTCTAGAAAGTTTTCTGTATCTATGTAGGTACAGATAAATTTGAGTATAGACAAATAGATTGCTCAAAAATTTAAATGCATGGTTAGGACCTAGGGATAAAAAAAAGTTGATGTTCATTCTTTCATTTTCAGCTTTGGATGGAATAGTTGATTGCATTTGTATGAGAGCATGTACTTTAACTGGTTATAACTAACTGAATGCCAAGATTTAGGAGTTTGATGGAACTATAGAGATAATCTAGTTTGATCTTATTTTATAGTTGAATAAAGCAGTGTCTAGAAAGCTTAAGTGATTTGCTGAAGGTAATACAGGTAATAAAACTCAGATCTCCTGCAATTGCCTATATCCTTTTCAGTCTTTCATTTCCTCTTATAAGTCTTAATGCATATTTTAATCATTTACATTTGACCTAAAAGTGCTTGCTTTTAGTAAAAATTCTTGTTCTCGGTTTCTAGCATTATTATTTGGCATAAACTGTCAGTACCAATATTCAAATAAGTATTGAATTGATTAATTATGTGTTTATTTGCTTTCTGAATTTTCTGAATTGTCTGAAAGATCTCCCATAACTAGTATATAGACTTTACTTGCTTGTAATTTTTTTTCTTTCTTTACTAGAATATAATTTCTAGGTAGTAGAAAGTTTATCCATCATTAGCTCTTTGGCTGCTCAGAATCTAGAATATTGTAGGCCTCAATAAATATATACTGAAAATGTAAGCAGGGCATGGTGCACACCTATAATCCCAGCACTCAGTTGAGGCAGGAGAATCACTGAGGGCTCAAGGCCAGCCTGGGCCACATAATGAGAAAAAGAACATGTAAAAAGGAAAGACAATAGTAACATCTCTCAAGCTATTTAATGTTGTTTGAAGGCCCATTTAGGTATACTTGTGGGTTCTGGGACAAATAGTTGTGGGCTCATTTTCCTTCCTCTTCCTCACCAAATGCTACCAAATACCCTGGAAATAATTCATTACATAAAAGCACTTTGAAATATGGATAGAAAGTGGATTGACTAGAGCCGGGTGTGGTAGTACATGTCTGTAATCCCAACACTTGGGAGGCTGAGACAGGAGGATCGCTGTGAGTTCGAGACCAGCCTGGGCTATATAGTGAGTTCCAGGTCAGTCTCAACTACATAACTACATAGTGAGACCCTGTCTCAAAAAAAAAAAAAAAAAAAAAAAAGAGAGAGAGAGAGAGAGAGAAAGTGGGTTGGCTCGAGACCTCGGAACCTGATGAACAATACAACAGTGAGTTTACTAGATTTTCTTTTTTATCCTCCTCCATTCTGCATTAGGTGGTAGAGAGATTTTGTGACCCAGAGCTTCCAACAGGCACAGGCATAAAATAAATCAATAAATAGACAAGAAAACCGGAGACTTAGCTCAGTGGTGCTGTGACTGCCTGGCAAGCAGCTTTCTTTGCCCAAAGGACTGAGAAAAGGAAAGACTTGTAGAGGCTTAATGGTTTGCTTGCATGTTGTGGCAGCAGCTAGCCCACTTACAGGGTTTAGAAGCCAGTCCATCCCTACCCAGCCTGCAACAGTATAACCTAGGAGGGCCTGGTCAGCCCATAGTGCAACTCAGGAGGGTAAGCACATACCAGACCATAGTTAGGTCAGCAGCATTTGTAAATATTTGTGTAGAAATAGTAACAGCAGGACCTAGGGTCTGGTGCATCCTTTACTTACTAGGTAACAGCTTGTAGATCCTCTCAATGTAACGTTAGCACCGTAAACCCATAATTTCCTTATTCTTATTCAAGCAGCAAATACCTAGGCTCAGTAGTTCTAGCCTTCCATTGAAGACCAAAAGATATAAGCCAGTATTTCCCAACCCTCCACCCAATCACAGCAATCCAGAGGCAAAAAGTGAACCAGGCTTGAGGTCTCCCAACTCCTCATTCAGTGGCACAAGGCAAGTGCTTGGTGCTTGTCCTCCTTTGAAAGCACTAGCAAGGATGAAATAGGAAGCCCATTGGCCCTAGGAAACAAACAAACAAAAATCCAGGAAAAATACTTTCTGTCCTTTAAGTCTGGCATCCAACCAATGATACTAGGTAGCCCAGAGAAGTACCTTCCATTCTTAGGTAGTAC